CCCCCGAATATCATGTTGATTGTCTGGCGCGTAGGGTTTTCTCCTGCTTTTGAGGGTTCCGCGTTATCACGGTTGCGACCGTAATTTTTCTTGGCCCGGTCACTTAAGAATTCTCTGAGATGACCATTTTTAGCAGCGTTGCCACCTCTTCATGCAGATGTCGGCAGTCCCCAGTCCGGTGTCCATTCATCATGTGGTATTCGCACCACAATTTGGGATCCCTTTGGCGGGGATCAAACCTCATCGGCTTTGGGAACTGTGCATCTTTAATATTCCTCACAAACAATACCAACTCTACTACACTGACGTTGAAGTTGTATTCTGATATCCTAGGGGTAGGATGGATCCCATGTTCCCGACGCTTCTTTGTCCTGCAGTGATTTGTTGTTCCGACAACGATCAATTATTCTGTCGGTAACGAACCTGTCTGCCGACCAGAGACCTTTGCAGCTTCTTTCGGCCCGTTCGTAGAGAAAAATCCGGCACCTCGAAGACCGTCTATCTGTGTCAAAATCCTCTTTTGATTTTTCTTTATTCTTCTCCCATTCTTTTGCAGATGACGGGAAGCCAATCTCATCATCTTCAATCCTCATCTTAGACTCGTACCAGTTATGGACATTCGCCCAAGTTGTGGCTTGGAACTCAAGCAAGCTTTCCTTCAATTTCCAATAATCGTCTAAACTTCTCAGATTCAGACCCTTGGTGAATGCTTCAACCGCCCATTCATCTGGAATAGCCGGGAGCAACATCTTCTCCTTTGGGAACCGGGTGACGAATATCCGTAGCAACTCGGACTCTCCTTGTGCAATTATGAATATGTCGGTCTTTCGGGTGTGCACCTTCATGGCCCTGACATGTGCCTTAATAAAAGAATCTACGAGCATCTCAAAGGAACCGATGGAATGCTCGGGTAACATCGAATACCACGTCAAGGCTCCCATCGTGAGAGTCTCTCCAAATTTCTTCAGCAAAACAAATTCAATCTCATGGGGGTGCTAAATCATTCCCCTTCACCGCCGTTGTATATGTGGTAATATGCTCTTAAGGGTCCAAAGTTCCATCATAATTTGGCACTTCAAGCATTTTAAACCGCTTCGGGATTAATTGCGGTGTTGTGCTTGGTTTGTACAGTAGCTGAGTATACTTCTTTGAGTCCGGCCCTTTCAGCACTGGTGGTACACCCAGGATTTGGTCCATGCGGGTGTTCACTTCCCTCATAAACCGTAAGAGTTCGCTCTTGAAGGGATCGTTCTCATTGTTGGGGCCGAATTCGCTCCCCCCAGCCCCATCAGAGCCAACCTTACCCCTTGGGGGGTTGTTGTCTACCCTCTGCGTTGTTTGATTCGTGGGAGCACGGGTAGGAACTGGACCTCGTCCATTCGCGTTATTGGAAGCCCCCGACAACACTTGCTTCAACTCCGTCATAACCATATCATGTCGTGTGAGATGACCTAAAATGGCGCTTGTTGCTCTTGCAGGACTCTTACTTCTCAAACAACATGATTCTCTTCAGCATCATCGGGAGTCGCCTCCCGAACATATCGCGGGTACCCGCCTGTCGTGGACCGGCGTAGCATCATTTTCCTCATTGTGGGTGTCACTGACTGAATCCTCGTAATGAGGTTGGTCTCCTTGGGCCTCAAGACTCTGTGTGTTGTTAACACCATTATATGCCATTTTTTTGCGATTTTTTGCTAAGACAAGTAATCAAACACATTAGTAAAAGAGGCAATGATCAACTTAATTACATGGATGTCTAGGCCCCACGGTGAGCGCCAAACTGTTTACCCATAAAATGATATAGTTGAATTTATACGTGGTTTATAGACAAGTGAATTAATTCGATCATGAAATAATAAAATAATTGAGAAAATACGCAATACTTAGCCTTGAAATGAAGACAAATCGTAGAAACAATAATTCCGGGTGCAGGGCTTCCGGGCACAATAACATTAAAATCAAGGAATAAGAAGATAAAATCGTATAGAGTTTTGAATCAATTATAGCATAAGTTTGTTAGAAAACTCGTGTCCCTTACAATGATAACAAAGCTCACTATTTATAGTTGCACATAAGGAACAAGGTCCTATGATCATGCCCTTCTTTAATGTCAATTATGAGGGCCATTGAAGAATGTGTAGCGGTGAGCATAAATGATAAATTCTTTGTAACGGGTCATGCACTAAATATTATGGAATATTTCCATTAAATAATACCGGGCGGAAGGTATTTATTGCATCTTTATGAGTGTCATTCTTTCCGGTGATAAATGAAATAATTGCCTTCGGTTTTAACTATCCTCCGCCTTCGGCTCCACGTGTCACTCTCTTATGCGGCCGCTTAGCATAACATATTTCACCCTATACAATATCTTGTGTAATTCTTTGAAGTGCAGAATTTGCTTTTTTGTGTGGTTTAAGTTTTGGTGGTGTGATTTTGCAAGAAATTCCTAATTTAAGTGACTATTTTAGACTAATATCGAAAAACATATTTTATGGAACCTCTCATATGCTAGCTCACCTAAACATAAATAAATATAATGTCAATGACATACTTTGCTATAAATTAGCACAACTACGATTTGACCTTGCAAAAGATAATTATACTTCATTTAATGCATTCCATGTAATTATGCATTCCATGCAATTAGCCATTAATAGTTTTGATTTTTTTTGAATAACTAGACACTAATGTTCAATTCATAAATTATCACATCAAAGTTTTGAATTTAAGTTCTTAAAACTTGAGAAAATTGTATGAAATAAATTCATATTTTAAATTTTGGAAACATTCTAGATTTGTCCCTTTACTTTCGAAAAATATCTAAGTTTATATTTAATTCTACTATGGGTCCAAATACGTCCCTACCGTTAAGAAAGTGGACTAACATACCCCCAACTCTAACGGTTGTCCACTGTGGTAAGGGACCCGCTCAATAAAAAATGTCACGTAATTAATTCTATTTTTTTCTCTTCTTTTTCTCTCTTCTTTTCCCTAACATGTGTATCCCTCCCCTTTTTCTCCCTTGCCCTCCACCATTATTTACCTTTCCTTTTACCCCACCCATCACCATGGATTATCTCTTTTCTGAATGGGCAAAGCCACATAGAATCATTACTTGTCAAACAAAACACTACCAATTATGATAATCAATTAAAAGAGGGGCAAAACCACAACCCATACGTTTACCCGTCTCCATTAACACTCGAAAAAGGCTATAACCCTTTTTCTTTTACTATTTTCATATATTTTCAGCTTCATTCTTCCCTTTTTTATACTAATCTAGAAAACATATCGATAACACCAAGAAAAGAAAAAACAAGAATCAAAAGAAAATAAACCTATAAAGATTTATGTTTTTTTTCCTATCGTTTATTTTGGTGCTTAATCCAAAAGAGCAAAGAATAGCAGAGAAAGACCAAGAAATTATAAGTAATAGAATCCTAGAAAGTTTTGATAGCTTTGACTTTTGATACCACCTAAATCCTTCTTTTTTCTTTGTAAATTGATAGAACAAATTGGAAAGTTTTATTTTTGTAATCTAAAAATTCAGGTAAGAGACAAAAAAAGAAAATTCGATGTTGTGATAATAGTGAGCGAGTGTGGTGTATTATTAACACTACATAATTTATTAACCAAGTCAAGGGAAAAAGCAATCAATTTTCAGTTCTCGAATCCTTTTTATTTTCACAAATAGTGAAGACCTGCGATTTTAACAAATGAAGAATAGCGATTTTTTTGAAGTGGGATTTTGGGGTGGATTTGGGGAGGGGGGAGGATAGTTGACAGAGGTTGAAAATGGTGGTGAAAGATTGTCTCAGTGTGGTTCAAGATGGAGGACGATGGTTCAAGCCTTCAAGGTTGAAAATGGTGGTGAAAGATTGTCTCAGTGTGGTTCAAGATGGAGGACGATGGTTCAAGCCTTCAAGGCGCCGCCGCAAATATTAAATATCCAGTTCTTTCATGTGTTTAGTGGCTAAGGTTGCTATAATGGTGGAGGGCAAAGGGATTCGGATTTTAGGGAAAAGAAGAGAGAAAAAGAAGAGAAGGAAAAAAATAGAATTAATTACGTGGCATTTTTTATTGAGCGGGTCCCTTGCCACAGTAATGGTGGGGACGTATTTGGACCCATAGTAGAATTAGGGATAAACGTAGATAATTTTTAAAAGTAGAGGGACACATTTGTCCTTTGTTCCTTTTAAATTTGAGCCCTAAGATTTATGCAATTGGTACTTAATAATGATTAGATCAACTTTTAAATCAGAAATAGCACAAGATTGTCATTTCTAGTCATATTATTTAAATTATAGTTATTTTTATAACATATTAAAAGCTTAGCCAGATTTAATAATTTTCAGAAGGCTTTTTATTGGCATTGCATATTATAGCCCATTTGGCCAAGCTTCTTCGAGGCCAAAAATACTTTTTTTGTCAATTTTTTTTTTCAAAGTTGAAATGTTTGGTAAAGCTTTTAAAAGAAAAAAGAAATATTTTTGAGTAGAAGCAGAAACAGTTTTGGAGAAGCAGAAAAAAATAGCTTACTCCAAAAAGCATTTTTCTAAAAAGTAGTTTTGCGAAAAATACATTTAGAAGCGCTTTTTAAAAGTTTGGCCAAACATTAATTGTTGCTGAAAAGTACTTTTCAGATTAATTAGACAGACACAAATCACTTCTCACCAAAAATACTTTTGAGAAAAACACTTACTATAAAAAACACTTCTCAAAATAAGCTAATTTTAGAAGTTTGGCCAAACAGACTATTATTGTAAAGTTTTAGAAGTTCTAAAGTTTTGAACATTCAGACTTATCAAGGCGATTAAATATTAAATACTTTGTAAAGTTTGGTTATGTTTTAAACAAAAGGGGTATTTGTGCATTTCGCCCCATAAACGGGCAGACTGCAAAGCTAACCGAACCCTACTTATATGCCGACCCGATCCGTTTTCCATATTATACTCGCTGTCGCTTAAACCCCTACCGCCAACAGCCTTTCATCTCTCTCACTTTTGCTTTGAAGCAAAACTATAGTCAGAATAAAAAAACCACATCAATTTGTTAAGGTCTTTTAGCTGTCTACGTTGAATTTTGGTAGCAACAGAGCACAATGTAAGAATTATTGCCTTTTTGTATTGAGATTTTGAGTTTCTGTTTCTGTAAATGCAAACATTTGAACTATCTCGTTCAGGTTGTAAGAATTATTGCTTTTTCTGTTGGTTTATTTAATTTGAATAATACGCAGGATGGAGTTTAGTCTTTCTGGTTGATTTGGGATGCAAATATTTGATTTTTTCTTGGTGGGGTTGTAAGAATTTTGCAATATTTTTGTTTAAGTTTGAATTTAAGGAATACCAGAATTCAGTTTTTGAGTTTCTGGTTGATTTTTAAATGCAAATATTTGAATTATCTTGTGCAGGTTGTTAGAATTATTGCTTTTTTCTTTTTGTTTATTCAATTTGAATAAACTCAAAATGGAGTTTTGTGTTTTTGGTTAATTTGGGATGCAGAGATTTGATTTTCTCTTGGTGGAGTTGTAAGAATTATTGATTATGTTGGTGTAAGTTTGAATTTAAAGAATACCCAGAATTCAGTTTTTGAGTTTTTGGTTGATTTAGCTTTTGGATTTGGTTCTTTTGGATAGTGTTAAATGTTTAATATGTATTTTTTTTTTGTATTGAAGGTCCCGAATCTGTGTGAAGAATTTGCCGAAGTATGTAGCTGAGGACCGCCTCAGAGAGTTCTTCTCCCAGAAGGGGGAAGTCACTGACGCCAAGCTCATGCGTACTCAGTTAAGTTTCTTTCCATTTTATTCTTCCTACTTTTTCTTTTTGATAGTAATGTGTGCTGTAGAGAATCCTAAATTTGTTGGACCGAAACGGGTCAAAATGCTGGGAAACTGATCTAGAGAGCCGTGACAGCCAACCACAACTAGTAAAAAACTTGTTATTTATGTAAAGTAACATTAATGTTTTTCAGTTGTTTTCGATGTTTTCAACAAGAACTGACTTTTGGACTGGTATATATAAGTTGATATTTGCTTGTGTGGAGATCTTTGGGGTATATTTCTGACTTTGAATTATTTCATGTTCGAATGATTGTCATTTTTCACGTTAAGCAGAGATGGGAAGAGCAGGCAATTTGGATTTGTCGGATTTCGAACGGAGCAAGAAGCTGAGGAAGCTATCAAGTATTTTGACAAGTCTTTCATGGATAGTAGCCGTATTATTTGTGAGGTATGTTTTTTCTGCTTCAATTACTCTGATATTCTGCATACATACTTAGTGCAGTAAGAAAATGCATATCTCTATTCCATATTCTGTATAATTCAGTTATAAAAGAAAGATGGCACCTTCATAGTTTTTTTAAAAGTAATCTAGAGAAAATCTCCTCATGGAAGTTGTTGTAAGCTCCAGAACATCTTGTTGGGTGTTATTTATTTTGCATTTCTATTTTTCATTGTGAGATATTTGAATCATATTTTCGTAGGTTGTCAATAATTTATTTTTCTATAAGAGAGTAGTCATTTTCGGAGGTATGGGTAAAGGATAACATAAGATGCATTTGCATATAGCCAGATTGCTAGGAAAATTGGGGATCCAAATATCCCTCGTCCATGGAGCAGGCACACTTTGAAAAAAGAAGAGAAGTTGACAAATGAGGATGAGAATGCAAAAGTAAAAAGTTCTAAGTCTGCAGGTTTAAAAGGGGACAAAACGAACAGTAAACAGGAGAGTAAAGATGAGGATCCTCATCTTCAAGAGTTCCTTGAAGTTATGCAGCCTCGGAGTAAGTCAAAGTTGTGGGCAAATGATACACTAACAGCTCCATCTCTTGCCCGAAGTAAAAAGGATGCCAATAAGCAATCCCAGAGAAAAGAGAAGAGCCAGGAAAAATTGGATGCTGATGACTCTGAGTTAGGTGAAGCTGGCAAAAAAGAAGAATATCTTTCAGATAGTGTAGAATCTGAGAAACCTGACGGCTCCCGTAATGATGAAGTTATGACTGATATGGATTATTTCAAAAGTAAAGTGAGGAAAGATTGGTCCGACTCAGAAAGTAGTGAAGACAATGACAGTGATAACGAAAGTGACGCTGAAGGTGGCAAGAGCAGTGAAGATGCAAATGCTGGTAATATCCTTGAACCTGATGATAGAGAGGAATTGTTGAATGATGAGTTCTCCAGATTTAACAATGAATCACTTGACCCTGCTGATCCTTCATCAAGTGTTAAGGATGAAAAAGAAGAAGATCTGGAGAGCGGACGATTATTTGTTCGTAATCTTCCATACACTACTACGTAACGCATCTTCTTTCTTTTTCCCTTTCATTTTTTTGTGTGATTTGAATCACTATATGTTGTTGAGTCTTTAAAGATTTTAATGTGCCTAATATGTGTTCTTGTTAAAATAATTGTTCGGTGACTCAGGGAAGAGGAGCTGGAAGAGCATTTTAGAAAATTTGGCAGTGTTTCACAGGTTCATATTGTTGTTGACAAAGATACAAAGCGGTCCAAGGGAATTGCATATGTTCTCTATTCATTACCAGAATCTGCTGCTAGGTAGGTACCTGTCAATCAGCATCCAATTCTAAGCTACTGCACTTTTTTAATCTATTACTTTACCTGCAAGAAGCACACTGATATTCATGCTATAAATTCCGTGTCCTATATATATTAGTGCATGTATTGACTTTGCATGTTCTGGTGGTTCCTCACATTGTACATTTATTGTTCTCCAGGGCATTAGCAGAGCTGGACAGTTCAATTTTTCAAGGCCGATTACTTCATGTTATGCCAGCAAAGCAGAAAGTTCCTTCAGAGAAAACAGAGTAAGTGGTGTTTCCTACTCTTGTCTATGTTCATAACTTCATACCCCTGAAGATTGTGTGCATATACATGTATGTGAAAAGAAGCCCTTTCCCTTTTCCGCCCTTTTTATTAGGATCTACCTTGCTATAATTTGTTTATTAATCTGTAGGACAGTTGCCAATACCAAGCAATCTTCAAAAACATTTAAGCAGCAGAGACAAGAGGAAAAGAAGGCATCTGAAGCTAGTGGAAATACACGTTCATGGAATACTCTCTTCATGCGCCCAGACACTGTATGTACACAATCAGATATTATAAATTGAATTCCATCTTTTCCGTGAATGTTGGTGCTCTTCTGTTTGCTAGAAACAGTAAGATTGACTGGTTGTTTAATTATGCTTCTACACGTCTACATATGAGTCGGGATGCTCATTGATTTTTCTGGATTGTTGTCAACTCAACAAAACCAAATTTTTGAAGATGTTACTTGGATATCATGATAAGTATGCTTTTTGTTACAAAGCAAGTTATTTCATTTGGAACAGAGAAAGGACTACACATCCAGTTATAATGTGCAACCATTGGAAAAAAAGCGGAAGACATCAATAAATTGGGATCATTTAGGGGAAGGTTAAAAAGGCCTTTTTTTTTTAGCTTGACTAATGTAAAGCAATGTATATGCTTAATACTTCATGGACAAGCCCTCTTGAGTTTGCTTTATGGATGCTGGACTACCTGTGCAAGGCCAAGGCTAAGAGCAGCCTTCGTGTAACTGCAATAACAAGAGCTAGGTGGAAAAATATGATCTTAGCAGAGATTCTTCTTGAATGTCTAATTACAGATAATAATGGCAGGGTCACCCATAAAGGAAAGTGAGGATAATGCCATACCACCATCTATATCTCGTTAAACAAATGTTAGGCTGTTAGCTGGAGTCTAAATGAAATAATCAGAGTTTGCAAGTTGACCTGGTCTTCCCTGCAACATGAAAACAACCTATCATTTTGAAGTACCATGCCATCCTTTCGATAGATTTCTTACGAACACAATCTTATATTAAGGTGTTTTTACTTGTTTAAAAGGTCCTAAACTAAGGTATGACTGCAATAGCCAACACACAGTTGGAGGTTCATAGCAGTTCAGCCTGAGAAGAGATATTATAAATTTGTGTTAGCTCTTTCTTTAACATCTTCTTCCTCTATCTTTTGCTTTCTACTTTTTATCTGTCCATCTGTTAGTGTTTTTTTTGGG